AGACTTTGTAAACAGTTGGACAGTGTTGAGAGAATTATTTGTTTAGCAGAGTGATGGCTTTCAGGAGAAAACTGTCCTTGTGTCTAGTTGTTCTGGTGTGCAGTGCTCTATAGCTTCGTTTTGAGGGTAGGAGTTGAAACAGTTTATGTCCGGGGTGTGAGGGGTCTGTAGATATTTTCACAGCCCTCTTTTTGACTCCTGCAGTATACAGGTCCTCGATTGAAGCCAGGTGGGTAGTAATTGTTTTTTCTGCAGTCCTAATTATCTTCTGAAGTCTGTGTCTGTCTTGTGGAGTTGCAGAACCAAGCCAGACAATTACAGAGGTGCAGATGACAGACTCAATAACTCCTCTGTACTAAATACATAAAAAGGTACTTCAAGCCGAGTGCTCTGACAGACGAAGACACTTCAAAGCAGACTGACGATGGTGATGAAATATTTGCAATCAAATTCCCAAGCTTGGAGCTGAGACCAGAATGCTCTCCTATACAATTGTTTTGCTACATCAGCACAATTCTGTGTGATGGGGTGGGATTAACACCTAGTGAATTTTCAGGTTGGCTTTGCAATGGAGTTTCCCTACTCCAACTCCAGTTCCTTTACCACTAACTGATCTTGGCTCTCTTTTAACTCAGACCGGAAACCTCATTTCCCTGTTGTGGTGCACTGAAAGCTATTGGAGATCTGAATTGTTACACAAATTAAGATACCTGTAATGTTTTATTACAGGGATGCGGTGGCTTAATGGCTAAGACCCTGAGCTTGTTGCTCAGAAAGGTCGGCAGTTCGGCAGTTCGGCTGTTCGAATCCCGAGCACTATGTAACAGAGTGAGCTCCCGTTCCTTGTCCCAGCTTCTGCCAACCTAGCAGTTCGACCGCATGTAAAAAAAAGCAAGTAGAAAAATAGGGACCACTTTGGTGGGAAGGTAACAGTGTTCCACGCGCCTTCAGCATTTAGTCATGCCAGCCACATGACCATGGAGACATCTTCGGACAGCGCTGGCTCTTCGGCTTTGTAACGGAGCTGAGCACCGCCCCCTAGAGCCAGAAACGACTAGCACGTATGTGCAAGGGGAACCTTTATCTTTTACCGTAATGTTTTCTTTCAAATGGAAACTTCTGTTGTTCTCATAATGTACCAGACAGTTTTGACCCCACTTTATTTTCCATAATAATTATTTCTGCGTCTATCTTTTGCTACCAAGTGAGTAACTGCAACACCTGTTATAAATAGATTAAGTGAGTTGGCATACTGTTATTCCCTAAGTTTCCAGCCTCTCATTTAATGTAACACTGCAAAAGATAATTGCACCATGTCAAGAGGAAGGCTGCAAGCCTAACATAAATCAACTCTACCTGTTGACAGCTGTAAAGAAATTTTTAAAAAATGGAACACGTGCCATTATTTGAGGCGAGGATTTGTGGATTAAGTTTATTTCCTAAATCCAGTGTTTATAGTCATTGGGTTAGGACACAGGCAGACACATTCATTTTAGCCTGAGTCGCTCTATGCCCCCATTGCTTAAAGGAAGTAACAGACATTAAATTTTACACCCAAGGGAGGAGCTAAAAGGAAGAAGCTGGACTATTTTCACATTAACACCCATTCGGGAGATTTGAATTCCAAAATGGAAGAGGAGCTGCATGACTAGAATTGGGGTTGGATATGGCACAACATGGTGACAAATACAAACATTGGATGCATCCCAGATATATGACATAGGCTTGGTGAGCCACCAAGGTCAACTAGCAAGGGTTTAACACAACATTGTAGCAATAGCAATAGCGCTTAGACTTACCCTGTTTCCCCCAAAATATGACCTACCCTGAAAGTAAGTCCTAGCTTGATTTTTATATGTGCGCCCAATATAAGCCCTACCCCCAAGATAAGCCCTAATTAAGATCCTGCCCACTCCAGAGTGGATAGGTAAAAAATTAAGCTAGGGTAGGGGTGGTGGAACTACCCTATTACTTAACCTTGGACAGTTGTAGCCAAGCCTCTCACAACCCAACACCTGCCTCGCTGGCCCATTTCTTCTGTAGCTGGCAAGGCTTTCTTGAAGGCCTCTGTAGTTGATTACAAAACTCTGGATTGATCCAGAGTTCTGTTATCTGCTGCAGAGGCCTTCAGGAAAGCCTTGCCGGCCATAGAAGAAGTTCCTGAAGGCTTCTGACAGTGAAAAGGAGGCCAGGGGCAATGTGTGCAAGTGAGGTTAGTCAGTAAATGACATCCCCCGAAAATAAGACCTGGTGCCTTTTTTGGTGGCAAATCTCTCTCTCTCTCTCTCTCTCTCTCTCTCTCTCTCTCTCCCTCTATCTATCTATCTATCTATCTATCTATCTATCTATCTATCTATCTATATGATAGGGTCTTATTTTGGGGAAAACAATATATACCACTTCACAGTATATACCACTTCACGGTGCTTTACAGCCCTCTCTTAGCAGTTTACAGAGTCAGCCTATTGCCCCCAAACATCTGGGTCCTCATTTTACTGACCTCGGAAGGCTGAGAAGTCAACCTATGGCAAATAATGAAAAGGTGCAACAATCAAGTAATGTAGTTTTGGAGAAATTCAGCCAACTGGTTTTCAGAACCAGTTTTCCAACGTGTTCTTCCCAAGTTAACTGGGAGCAAGCCAAGCCATCATGTTCAGGCAAGCTGCAAAGGAGTGTACATGAATGAATTGCACAGATAAGGAGGCAGTGATTCATACATTCACCTTTACAGCTAGTCCTCGAATTAACAGCAGTTCATTTAGTGACTGTTTAAAATTACAACGGCCCTGAAAAAAGTGACTTGTGACCGTTTTGTACGCTTACGACCATTGCAGCATCCCCATTGTCGTGTGATCAAAATGCGGATGCTGGACAACTGACTTGTATTTATGACGGTTGCTGTGTTCCTCGGGGGTCCTGTGGTCCCCTTTTGCGATCTTTTGACAAGCAGGAGTCAACCAGGAAGCCAGATTAATTGAACAACCTTGTTTCTAACTTAACCAACTACAGTCATTCACTTAACAACTGTGGCAAAAAAAGTCGTAAAATGGACGCCAAACGCACTTCAAAAATGTCTCACTTTGTAACAGAAATTTTGGGCTCGGTTGTGGTCGTAAGTCAAGGACCACCTGTACTATGCAGTGCAGTTATGAGTGCTCAATGCTGATTATATAAGAGCCACTGATTGTATGAATAATGAATCTATGAATGAATGAATTTTGAATGAATGAATGAATATTGCAAATTCTTATAAGATTTTCTTTACCTCTCTCTCTCTCTCTCCCTCCCTCTCTCTCTCTCTCTTGATTTCTAACATAGTGTCTTTGAAAGTAACCACGTATCTTACTTTTCCCATACCGTAAAAAGGCATGCCAACCCAATTGTAAATCATGCCCCTCCAATGTCAATAACCTTGTATTCCTCAATACAATCCACTCTTTCATTCATGTTATGCTTGGTAAGAACACAATGGGGCTCTCGGTGGTTGTGTGAGAAGTATATCCAAGTCATTTCCATCTAGCCATTCCATTCCGGTTAGATCTTGCACAAGGATGCCCAAATGCAAACTACACAATCTCACATAAAACCCTTAACTCTCTCACAATCTGCCAACACTACAATAGCTTGGCAGGTTGCACTATTTTAGAGCCCCTTTAAAAACCAGCGTGATGTAGCAATTGGCTTGGATTGAGCCCAAGGAGACTCTGAGTTAAGATTGAAATTCATATTCAAATCCATTCTCAGGCTCTTGGAGAACCGTTTGGAGAAACCTCATCTAGTACTTTGATCTTTTGGAATAAAGATGGAGGGTGTTAATCTAACACACAAAGAAACAAACAAATATACTGGAAATATGTTGTTGTCTCCACGGATGATGTATAAACTATTCAACACCACCAACAATGCTATTGTTCTTCAAGGTGACCTTGATTATGTGTCTGAATGGTCAAACATTTGGCAACTCCAATTCTCGACCAACAAATGCCCTGTCCTACACATTGGTAAAAAAAAAATCAGTACACCAAATACAAACTAGGTGGATATGACCTCGTTGATGACCCTTACTCTGTCAAGGACCCTGGAGTACTCATATCTAATGATCTAAGCACTAGAGCTCACTGTAACAGCATTGCCAAAAAGGCATTAAGAGTTGTAAATCTAATCTTACGAAGCTTTTCCTCTGGAAATATTGAATTGCTAACTAGGGCATACCAAACCTTTGCTAGACCAATACTCGAATACAGCTCATCTGTCTGGAATCCACACTGTATATTGGACATTAATACAATTGAGCGAGTCCAGAAATATTTCACGAGAAGAGTATTACACTCCTCTGCTCGCAACAGAATACCCTATATCACCAGGCTTGAAATTTTGGACTTGGACAATCTTGAACTACGCTGCCTATGGTTGGACTTAAGCATAGTACGCAAAATGATCTGCTACAATGTCCTACCAGTCAATGACTACTTCAGCTTCGACCACAACAATACAAGAGCACACAACAGATACAAACTCAATGTTACCCACTCCGAACTCGATTGCAGAAAGTCTGACTTCAGCAACAGAGTGGTCAATGCCTGGAAAGCACTACCTGACTCTGTTGTTACATCCTCTAACCCCCACTCCTTTAACCTCAAACTATCCACTATTGACCTCTCCCCTTTCCTAAGAGGTCTGTAAAGGGCATGCATAAGTGCACTATCGAGCCTCCCGTCTCTGTCCTATTGTCCCCAATTATGCGTACCGATTTCCTGTATTCTGACTCATGTTTATACTTATACCTATTATCTTGTAAGCGATTGACAAATCAAATAAATTAATGAATTAATTAAAAAATGATAGCAGAAATTGACCCTCTGTTTATAGCACTTAGTTTAGCTGTGGCACTTTTGAAAACCCAGGAAAGGAAGGGAAGCTAAATCTCTGGTAAGGATAGCGTTAACTTCTTCCTTCTCAGAAACAAAACGCCAACAAAATGACTAAAGCATGAAGCATACCTGGCTACAATGGTTAAATTCATTTCAGTCCTGGACACCTCCTGTAGTTCACGTAAATGCGGGTCTAGAAGAACCATCTTCCACAGCAGAGAAAAAGGGAGCACAATGACATCTCCCCCTGCAAAGATAGTAAATCAGTTATCCAGGAAACCAGGGGGCCAGCCATTCAGAAGCGTTCATTCAGGGAATTCCAAGTGAAGCTTTGCAACCGTCAGGAGTCTTAACAAGGCAAAAAGAAAAAGAAAAAAAGAGAGTGGAAAGTAGAAGAATCGTGTGCACTCACCCTATTGTTATCTCTGATCAAACAGGTTTGGCAAGGTCACACCAAGATTAGAATAACAGAAATTAGCTTGCGGCTGAAGGGCAGCCAGGGCCTTGTCATATAATTAAGTTTGTGTTTAAAATGACTGCCCACTGCTGGAAACATGGCAGAGCATCAGGGCAAAGCTGCAGATCCCACACGGAAATAAGAGTTTTTGGAAACTGAAGCATTATTTTATCTAACCGAAGAGAGAGGATGCTTTGGGCTCTGTGTTGACAGGCAGAAACTAATGCAAGCTGATGTGGAAGTGATCGGGTGGGGAGGGAGGATATCTTCTAGAATATACCTATAGAATGTATACCTATAGAATGCATACCTAGAGTACTGCATCCAGGTTTGGTTGCCACACTGTAAAAAAATATGTTGAGATTCTAGAAAGAGTGCAGAGAAGGGCAACCAGGATGATGAGGGGACTGGAGGCTAAAACATATGATGAACGGTTATAGGAACAGGGCATGGCTAGTCTAGTGAAAAGAAGGACCAGAGAGCAGTCTTCCAATATTTGAGGGGCTGCCACAGAGAGGAGGAGGGGGTCAAGCTATTTTCTAAAGTGCTTGTAGGCCAGACAAGGAATAATGGGTGGAAACTGAACAAGGAGAGATTCAATCTGGAAATAAGGAGAAACTTTCTGACAGTGAGAACAATCAACCAAACGGAACGGAAGTTGCCTTCGGAGGTTGTGGGAGCTTCATCACTGGAGGCTTTCAAGAAGAGACTGGACTGCCATCGGTCAGAAATGATGTAGGGTCTCCCACTTTGGGGGGGTGGGATTGGACTAGATGACCTACAAGGTCCCTTCCAACTCTGTTAATCTGTAATCTAATCTGACAGTGGAATAAAATGTGTACAATTACTGGATCTAAATTGGATTGCTCCCATGTATTCATTTTCGAAAGGCAGTTGTGTTGGCTCATAGCCATACCAAAAAAACCAGGAATCTGGCAGCACCTTTTCTAAACAAATTTTATGAAAAGGCATAAGCTTCTGTGAGCTTACTCTGTGAGTATTTGAGGATTGCCACAAAGAAAGAGGAGTCAACTTATTTTCCGAAGCATCAGAAGGTAAGGCAAGGCAAGAAACAATGGTTGGAAACTAATCAAAGAGAGAAGCAACCTGAATTAAGGAGAAACTTCCTAATAGGGAGGACAATTAACCAGTGGAGCAGCTGGCCTTCAGAAGTTGTGGGTGCGTCATCACTGGAGGTTTTTAAGAAGAGACTGGACAGTCACTTGTCTGAAATGGTATAGGTTCTCCTATTCAAGCAGGAGGTTAGACACTGGAAGTATCCTGTTTGATAGAAGGAGTTTGTGCCTCAGAATGTGTATATGTAAACACAAAATCTTAGATTTCAAACTTTAATGGTTGTTGGAGCTATTTATTTCTCCACCCATGTTTTATTTTGTTTATCCCCGCCATATTGAAACATAGGACATCTTCTGTGTGCATGTCACATTTCAGGAAAGTGTTATAATATAAGACCACCAGGAATAGAAACCAGCAGCTGATTAGCAACCTGCTTCGGATCTGAATTTTATTTGTGCATCGGGCAGCTTGAGTTTGTCTGCTTGAATTTTATCCATGACTCAGTGCCTCCCTGGCTGGAGAACAGAATCTGCAGGAGTGTGTTCGTTTTTTTTCACTTCATGACTCCAACCTTGTTGAAATTGTGGCTGGCTGAAGGTCCTTCATTAACAAAATGTACCTGTCAGTGGTGGGATTCAAACATTTTTACTATCGGTTCTGTGGGCGTGGCTTGGTGGGGGTGACGTGGCTTGGTGGGCGTGGCAGGGGAAGGATATTGTAAAATCTCCATTTGCTCTCCACTCCTGGGGGAAGTTACTGCAAAATCCTATTCCCTCCCCATCCCACTAACCTGCTTTCCAGCTCCATTCTCCTGTGCAGGGCAACCAAAGAAGATCCAGCCAATCAGCTGGGACTCGGGAGGCAGAGAAGAGATGGGGGTGGGGCCAGTCAGAGGTGGGATTTGCCAATTCTCCGAACTACTCAAAATTTCCGCTACCGGTTCTCTAGAACTGGTCAGAACCTGCTGTGAATACCACCTCTGTACCCGTTGGTGGCTCACCAAATTATAATAAAAATTCAAGAACAAGCCCAACCTCACAAAATGCTGCTTAAAAGCATGCCATGAATTGGAGCACCGCAAGATTTTAGCGACTGGAGGAAGCCGAGATGAGGGAATAGAGACTGCAATGCAAGAATTGTGTTAACAGCTGAAGCGTGTTTTCAAAAGCCTGGGAAAATAAATAAATAAAGGTATGGTGGAGAACTGGCTCTGTTTTCAGATGCTGAGAAAACACCTAAGTGCCAGACAGTTTTCTCTACAAAGATAAATTCATAGTAAATTTATAGCCCAGAGGGAATAAATAAAGTCTTTCTTTTGATTCCATGACAACATCTTTCAGTGTAAGTTTTTGATTATCAACTGCCCTTTCTTTCTTTCTTTCTTTCTTTCTTTCTTTCTTTCCTTCTTCTTCTTCTTCTTCTTCTTCTTCTTCTTCTTCTTCTTCTTCTCTCTCTTTCTCTCTCTCTTGTTCTGGGAAACAGATGGTGTCGATTGGGTATATCTGAGTCACCTAACATAGCTGGAAATGATCATAAAAGAGCTTATTGGCTCATAGTGAATCAGTTAAAGGACTGAGTCTATTAGTCATACATTGCTGTCACAAAGGCCTGAAAATGTTTGTGCCTGGACAAACCAGAAGCTTGTACAAATAACAGTTCCTTGACAGTTTGCTTTCTTTTATTTTTGCAATGGAAAATGCCATTTCAGTGTCTCATATTGTCATCTGTATTCAGCAAGTTGCAACTTGACTGAGTCATTGTCAAGAATGCTGTGGTGGATTTGCTACACATTGTTGGGTTAAACAGAAGCAAAGGAGGAGGGTGAACTTGCCAGCAATAGAGAAACAAGGCTGAACTTTCTTAAGCAAGGTGGCTTTGGACAGTGTTTAAATCCAGCCGCAGTAGCAATAGCACTTAGACTTATACACCGCTTTATAGTGCTTTACAGCCCTCTCAAAGCATTTTACAGAGTCAGCCTATTGCCCCAACAATCTTGGTCCTCATTTTACCCATTTTGGAAGGATGAAAGGCTGAGTCAACCTTGAGCCTGGTGAGCATCGAACTGCTAGCAGTTGGCAGAATTAGCCTGCAATACTGCATTCTAACCACTGCGCCGTCACGGTTCTTACATCCCTGATGAGGAAAGAAGTGGGACAGAGGTGTGTGCAATGTTTTCTTTATATATATATATAAAAATTTTTGAAACAAACCAACACAAACAAAACATAAAAAACATAAAACCATCTTCCAGTTATATACGTACAATGTGTCAGTTGGTTACAAATCTTTTGTGCTATCCTTTCCTAGTCTTTCCTTACAAATTGCATAGATTCTCACATTATCAATTCAGCATATATTTATACATTATCAGTTATTAACCGTTCATTTGACTAAACTATTATTCCATAATTTTGTACAAAATATTCTAAATTTTATATGAATTTATATTATGCATTCATCCAATGGTTATATATTTTTATATTCTATTCTGTATCATTCTACTAGTCTTATATTATGAAATTTCCTAGTATATTTCATTACCATGTCTTTTTGTCTAACCATTGATAAAATAAATCCCATATCTTATAGAATTGTTTATGTTCTTGTTCTCTAATTTCAAATGTCAATTTACTCATTTCAGCACAATCCATAATTTTCTTAATAACTTCCTCCTACCTGGGTATTTTTTCATTTTTCCAATTCTTAGCAAATACAATTCTAGCTGCTGTTAAGACATTTACAATCAAATATTTCAATTCTTTATTATATATTTCTGGTATAATTCCCAATAAAAATATATCTGGTTTAAAGTCTATGTGTTGTTTTATTATTTTTTTCCAGCCATATGTGGATTTTCATCCAATAACTTTTTGCATCCAAGCATGTCCACCACATATGGTAATATGAACCAGGTATCTGATGACATTTCCAACATTTATCCGATTTGTTCTTAAACATTCTCACAATTCTCGTCGGGGGTAGTGCCACCTATAAAACATCTTGTACAAATTTTCTTTATAAGCAGTTGACATTGTCATTTTATAATTTTGAGACCACAATCTTTGCTATTTCTCTAAGTCAATCTCATATCCAAAAATTTCCCCCATGTAATCATCATTTCTTTAACTTGCTCTTCCTCTAATTTAAACTCTAGTAAATGTCCATAAAGTTTTTTTAATGACCTTTTCATCAGTACCTGTCAAAATTTTATCTAAATCAGTCAACTTATCATAGAAACCTTCTGTTTTAAGATCTTTGTCAAATCTAGATTGTATTTGTCCATATGAAAACCAATTCATCTTTATATCTTATTCTTCCAATGCTTGCATAGATTTAAATTTGATTTAGAGAAAACATGAACGAATTCTACTAAAGAAATTTTTGCATGAATATGAAGTTGATGATTGATTGTTGAATGCTGTCAAAGTGATGTGTGGTAGGATTAAACCATGTCTGCAACTAAAAAAAAAATCTGTAACTGTAAAATAGATTCTGTAGGACAAAATGTCTCAAACAGAACAAATAGATCAATTGGTGTACCTTGCTAGAAAAACAGGATAATGGATGGAAAAATGTTCATGAGGGGAGAAGTGTAGTGGATAAAATGGGAGCTTTTATGATGAATGGATACTTTTTGGGAAAAGCAAAAAAAGGCTGCATAACAAGAGTGTACTTCTGTCCATTTAGTTATATGAGAGATTTGGTATTG